CCCCCCCCGCCACCCTGTGGAGGCGTCGCGTCGTCACTTAAGAGTAAATATTTCGTTATACTTCATACTGAGAGTTAGGTCTACCGGATGTGTCGCAGATCTGCGTTTGAATGATTACGTCTCAAAGATTTGCAAAAAAGTTGTAGGATGCAAAATCACTTACGGAGAAATCTTGAAAAAATATGATATTGGCCTTTGGAAAACACGCTTGTGACGTAAATGCTGCCGTGCAAAGGAAATACGCGAGCCTTCAGGCGTTGCCAAATTTCCCCTGGCATATCACTAATTTTCAGGAAAATTTTTGAATATTTGTCTACCAATCTCAGATAATTTTGTTTGTAATTTGATCTAAAAGTCTGAAAATTTTAAGGAAAAATATTCATGCTTTTCCTAAAAAATAAACATTTTATCGATGGAACTCAGCAACTCTCGAATGTTCATATGGCGTTCTTCCTTCGCACGGCGGAATGGAAAGTAGTCGATAGTGGTTCGAGGTATCGTTTGTTTCAAAACTATACAGCATAACCTCGAACAAACATTTCAGGATTTAAGTTAAAGAGAGCTGATAAGAGAAAATTCCTGAAAATTTTACTTTTCATTGCCATGTGGTACTCATAAAAGTAAAAATCTATCACAAAAACCCGTTCCCACGGATTACGCAATTGACTTTGGAGGCCGTGTTTACATATTAAACCAATCGATATCGATACAGTCTCGCCTGTTTGATGTGTCGAGTACGATTCATTGCCTCATTAATGCATACTGTGGTTTCTGTCATTGTCGTATTTTATGCTAAGTACGCAAAAATGCTCTGATTTGCACTGTCGCATGTCGTGCTAATATAAAGAAAAATACTGAAGGAGCTTTCGGACGTTGGAGAATTTCTGTTGGAGTACAAATTGTTAGGATAATTTTTGAATAGTTTTGTTTCAATTTTGCCAAGAAATTTAATTAATTTCCTTTAAATCTAGAGCACCTTAAAATTTCAAGTAAAAATATTTATAACTTTCCTTAGGAATCTTATATTTGAAGGAGTCAAGAAACATATGAGGAGCTTAGAGAACAAGTCGTTTGAGAGCGGTTTTTGAAAAAATTGAGATATTTATGATTTCAAGTAAAACTAGTCTTAATGCATATTGTGTGAAAACATGGAGTTTGAACCTTTCTTCCTCTATGAGGATCCATGTAATTTCGAAATTTCAAACACATAACTCTCGAAATAGCAAAAACTGCACTTATGCATCCTGTCCTCCAAGCTCCTCATATGATAGTTCTTATGACGCTTTTCTTCAGCGGGGAAGTGCAGTGGTCAGGGCCGGATTAAGAGGGTGGCCACATGGGCCGCGGCCCATGGCGGAAAATCTAGGAGGCGGGAAATTTTGCAATTTTTTCAGATGTAGGTATAAAAAAAATCGGATTTAAAAAAAAATTACAAACAAAATCTCTCATTTCCTGAGAGTTAGTAATTTCTACTTTTGTCGTCTTTCGGTGATACACGAGACAGCACCTTTAATTAATCGAGTTAAGAGAGAGACCAAACACGCAATTTGGCCTGGAACGGCACGACTGAGAGAGAAATGATGACGAGGACTTTGAGATGAAAAGGAGAAGCGCTCGGCGCGGTAATCGGCATGTAACACATATTAGCGCCTACAAGACTGCACGAATACTTCACGCATTGCATCAAACACAGTGCAGTCAGCGTGAAACGCATAGCGCCTACAAGACTGCGTGAATACCTCACGCATTGCGTCAAACAGTGCGTTCAGCAGCGGTCGTCGGCGTGAAACTCATAGCGCCTACAAAACTGTCGGAATACGTCACGCATTGCTCCAAACACGGTGCGGTCTGCGCGGCGCGGCGCTGGAAGTTAAAATCATTAAACCACATTTATGTTTGTTCTCTCATAATTTTTTCGTTCATTTTTTAGGAATGGAAGGCCTTGTCCACGCAGAGATAGGTTTACGAAACTTAACGTTCGCGCAAAGTTCGATGAATTTTTGCTAGAAGTGTTGACAGGGCTTTCCCAAAAAATGTTTCCAACACGAGTAAACGCGTCTTATGCACCCCAACCCCGATGGCACGTTCACTTGATGGTTTTTATTGATGTTTCAAAACGAATGAGAAGGGGGCGGCAAAATACAGGCGGCCCATGGGCGGCAAGTAGGTGAATCCGGCCCTGGCAGTGGTCGTTTCAAACAGTCACTGATGACAGAACTGTGGTCTGGAGCGAAGAAAGTTATAAGATAATGTATGGAAGTCATCATCATATAATAAGCTCATCAATTTTGATTGCAGCAAAGATAGCGGAAATAAATATTCATGACTACTCACAGTGTCAATGACTTCAAATAGTTTCATGAGGAGCAAGGCACACAAACTTACATCAGAGAATTTTAAGAGTTATTAGGAATTACGCAATAAACGGTTAGTACATAGGCTGTCCCAAAACAACTGAGAGTAAGTCTGTATTTCAGAAACAATAAGAGATATTGAAACGCGNGGGACAGCCTATGTATGTGTGACAGCATAGGATTATGATTTTTTTTAAAAAAAAAAAAAAAAAAAAAAAAAAAAAAAATGCTGAAAAAATAACACGAAAAACGAGACGTTCGGCCAAAAATATTTGGCATTTTCAATCGAAACAAAAGAAACAAAAGCTAAAATACGAGTGCATACATCACAGGATCAGAGTACTTCGTACTCTGGGCAACTATATGCTTTGTACTCCGATACTGCGATGGATGCAATTGTAGTTAACCTTTTGTTTCGATTGAAAATTCCAAGGTTTTTGGGCAAAACGTCTCGTTTTTTTATCTTATTTTTTCAGCCTTGTTTCTCCAGATTTTTTAAAATTCATCATTATATTTACGGGCTGTATTTTGAATTCATTTTTATCTGTGATAACACATTGAGACCGATTGTGGGAGGCTTACAGCCTATAAAAGAAGTGAGAGAATCGTGCCAAGCCTGCAACAGTTACAAAAAAACGAGCAACTATTCGAACACGAAGGATGTTTTGCAGTATCACGCCTATTTGAAGGCGAAAAATTTGGCTCCTGTCTCACTGTACTCTGAAATTTACACCTAGATGTTCTGATTTCAAAGAAATTGAAAGGAGGTCACGAGGGGATGTTCTGGATCCTGTCACATAATAATTTCGAAGTCTGCATAAGAGAGTGGCGTAGTTTGAGCTTAATTCCCGCTTCGTAATAGACACAAGGCAAGGGCAAGGATAAAATTTGATACAGCTGAATGACTCTGGTTTCAAATTCACAGCGTAACTGAAAATGGCCACTCTCATGCGATACATTTTTTCAATGGTAGGGAAAAAACATAGCAAAGACCATTTGTCTAGGCTTCTTCCCTCTCCTGCATTTCAAATGAAGAGCTTGGAGGAAAAGGCGCATAAGTGCAATTTTTGCTACTTCGAGAAATGCGTGTTTAAAATGTCGAAATTACATGGATCATTGAGGCGGAAAGAAAGTTCAAACTGACATTTTGATGCTTAAAAATTGGAATTTTGGAGTGAATTTTTCACAGAATATGCATTAGGACTAGTTTTACTTGAAATCATTCATACATATCTCAACTTTTTCAAAAACGCACTTATGCGCCTTGTCCTCCAAGTCCCTTAAATAAAATTTAATAAGTATGGATTTTCCTGTCATTTATTTTATTTACGGAGTGTGTCGCATGACGGCATTCATATTTAGCTTCGCCTGACTTGGTAAAATCGAGGTGAATCATCCGTATCAAATATGTCTGTAACTAGGGGGTACGCCCCGTGACCGCTTGCGTCTGATGCTTTATGCGTTACTCTTGTGGTTTTATATTACACAGTGGGAAAAAAAAAAACACATTGTATCTACAGGCCCGCCACAAGGGGGGGGGGATACTGGGTCCCTAGTACCGGGGCCTGGACCCCGGAGGGGGCCCGTGTTACCCGTGAAAAACCACTACGAATTCACATGCAACCCTTGTTTCATAAGAAAAAGTGAAAAATTTACCCTAAAAATTTCGCAAAAGGTGAATAGATTTTCAGAAACACGCTGGGGCACTGTAGAATTCTTCTTAAATTTTCAAAGAAGTATACTTCTTGGAAAATTTCTATCTATTTTCAAGATTTTCAGTA